TGGAGAGGATGGAGCTGACATGGGCAGGGTCCTCCTGAAGGGGCTGGGGATGAGGAGACATGGATGAGGTCCTCTTGGAGAGGATGGAGATGAGGAGATGACATGGGTATGGTCCTCCCAGAGAGGCTAGGGATGAAGGTAGGGTCTTTGTGGAGAGGCTGGGACAAGGGACATGTGCAGGTTTGTCCCACGAGCTGCTGGCCTTTGGGAGGCATCGAGTGGATCGGGAGGCTCCGTGTTGTCCTCCATCCCCTTTCCATGTTGTCCTCCATCCCCTTTCATGCCACTCCTTTGTGGTGTTGTTTGGCCACGGCTGGCCCTTTGTTTTTACAGCTGCTGGAAGTGTTTTGAGCTGAAAGGTTTATTTTCTTCCCTCTGCTTGTCGTCACAGGGTTGTTTTCTTTCTCCCCACGGCATCTCGTGGCCGTGCTGGGCTCTGGGAAGCCCGGCTCCTCCCGGCTCTGCTAGGGAGGCCCGTGGGTCTCACAACTTTCCCTTTGGTCTCGTTGGCTGTCATTCTGTCCATGGAATGACCCCTCCTCCAGCCAGAAGGGCCACGCTGCAGCATTTTCCCACCACTGCAGTGAATTAGGGCTGAACTGTGGGCAGGCTCGCTCTGCTCCCCGTTACCTCTGGGTGACTGGGTCCCCATCCTTCCTCTTGCTTCCATCACCATCTCCCAGACCATCTTCCAAAAGACTGTAAGTACTACAGTGCCTTTTTTTGCTTTTCCTTTCTCTGCCCTTTGTTCTGTCTGTAGGTTTCATTTCTCTCCTACTTTGTCTCCGTATTCATCCCTTGCCCAGAGCCAATGGGATATGGATCACTCTCCTTACCCATTGTGGTACCTCTCCCATTTTTCCCTAGCCCCAAATCTTTCCTACAAATCCTTCTCCCATTGTGGACCAGGCAGAAACTGCTGAACCAGAACCTACTGCCAAAGCAGCTGCTGAGCACAGGAATTAACGAGCACTGAAATGGTGGCATCAGCTTTTTGTTCTTAAATCCAAATGGTCCTCGAGTGCTTCTTTGGGGAGGGGGAGGACACCAGGCATCCCCTCTGGTAGGGGTGGTTTTGGATTCTTGGGGCTTTCGTCGTCCCAACTAAAGAGCTAAAGGAGAAAGGTTGGATAGCCCCAAATCTGTGGTTTGGGGGAGAGCGATGTGTGTTGGTTCACACCGATCTCAGCGATGGGTTTTGGGATTGTGGATGGGATCCACTGACATTTTGCTTCCCCACCAGGCAGTATGGACCCCCAGCTTTCCCTTCCCTCTTCATATAGGACCTCTGCAGCCAAAATGTGGTCATTTGGAGCAGCACAGGGCATGAATGACAGACAGCAGCAGGCATCCCCTTGGGGCAGGAGCAGATTTGAATTCTTGGGGCTAGAGAGAGAGATAGGGGGGAAGGGTTGGGAAGCCCCGAATCTATGGTTTGGGGGGAGTAGATCTCAGATCTGTGTTGGTTTGCACTGTCCCATCCAACACCTCTCTGTAAGACAGTTCCAAGCGATGGGTTTTGGGACTGTGGGTGGGATCCACCGGCATTTTGCTTCCCACCAGGCAGTGAGGACCTCAGGCTTTCCCCTCCTTCTGCACATAGGACCTGTGCAGCCAAAACGTGGTCTTTTTAAGGCAACATAGGATGTGAATGGGAGCTGTGCCCCTCGGGCTGAGCGTCCTGAGCTGCCCTCCAGGTGTTCAGCGCTGCTCACCCTGGCTTTATTTTGTGTACTGGAGGCAGAATTGTTTTGTCCAACGCCGGGAAAGGGAAGTGAACACATTGTATGGTCCCCTCCACAATCCACGTCCTGTAAACAGCCCACGACTGCCTTCCCTTCCAACCTGTTTGTTCCTCTGCAGGGCGGATGGGGCTGGTAAATAAAGGGGGATGTGGGGCTTCCCCAGGATCCGTCCCACGGCTCTGGGATGCAGCCATGGGATTTTTCTGCTGCCGGGGACAAAACAGCCCCGTCGGTTTGCCTGGGCCTTAAAGCTAATTACCAGTCGACTAATTTTATTGATTTCAAATCCCTTTTAGCAGAGATTTTGCCTTGGGGCTGATCGCCAGAGCGATTAGGACGCAAAGCAGCTTAATTTGGAAGTGTTTATCAAGCAGCCTTCTGTCACCTCTGCTTCAAATCAAATTAGGGTGGAGCACCGGGGCTCTCCTGGTGGCATCCCACCTCCATCCATCCACCCTGGGCTGTGTCAGCCCTTCCCATCCCAATGCAAAGCCACGATGCTCTCTAGCTGTGCCCTGCTCTGCTCTGAAGGCTTCAGGTCAGGCTCAGCATGGATGAATTCCTTGTATCCACACGGAGCAGTTGTTGTCTATCAGCTCTTCTGTGCCACAGAAATCGTAAAGGATAAAAAACCCCACGACTGTCTGACAGCTACATCTTATTCTATTAGTACGTTTTAATTAGAACACCAGCAAGAAATGAGTTATGAATATTCATGCCCAGGGTTATTAAAATGCACAATTAATCTGCGCGCTTTTTAATAACTGTATTAATGGAGAGAAGGAGGTGCAGCTCCTGTTTTCCACTTGTTTTCGGAATTGTGAAGCGTGCCCCAACCTGCTTGGCTGCAAAAATGAAGCAGCTGCGTGCACGTGTGGGTGTCTGAGCATCCTGTGCTGGAGGTGAGCACTGCAGAGCTGCAGGGCCGTGCTGTGCCACGCTGCAGCCGTGCTGCAATCTCATCCTCGCCTTGGATTTGTGTTGTTTCGTTGGTTTTTTGGTTGTTTGGGGTGTTTTTTTTTTTTGCCCAGAGCAGGTGGGTGCTGTTCCAGAAGCACCTGCTTTTGGCCGACCTTTGGGATGCTCGAGGGTGCAGCAGAGGGAGTCTGCTGCCAAATTGTAGCTCCTTGTTGATAGGAGGGGAGGGAAGAGCAGCCTGGTGATGAGCGTGGGGCAGCTGCCAAGGGGTGAGGTGGGCAGTGTGCTTTCTGCACCTGAATTCTCCCATCGCCTGCAGGCTGCAGTGGGGCACGCTGCACTGGTGATGGGCTGAGATCTTCTGCCAGCCCCACGCTGGCTATGGGGCAGCTGTTGAGGTCCTTCTGACCCCTGTGCTGTTCCCTGAGCTGTGCTCCGTTTGCTGGCTGGGCAGCAGAGCAAAAGCCTCTCTGTGTTAATCATAGAATGGATTGGGTTGGAAGGGACCTCCAGGATCATTGGGTTCCCATTCCCCTGCCACACGCAGGGCCACCAAGTTCCCCATTTCATACCAGCCCAGGCTGCCCAGGGCCCCATCCAACCTGGCCTTGAACACCTCCAGGGATGGACGGGGCATCACAGCCTCTCTGGGCAGCTGTTCCAGCACCTCACTGTAAAGAACATCCCCCCGAAATCCCATCTAAACTTTCCTTCCTTGAGCTTAAAACCGTTCCCCTTTGCCCTACTGCTGTCAACCCCTGTTAAAAGTGGATTCCCCCAATACAGAGCATGAAGGTGCTAAAGGGACTTTGTGGGTCCCCAGTGCCCAGAGGCATCCGAGCCTCTCAGGCTCAGCGTAGGGCAGCAGAATGCTGCTCACCCTCTTCTTGGAGCACCCTGGATGGGAATATTTCTTATTTTTTTGGTAGGATTTTGGGGCAAAAAATTCCTGGTGAGCTTCCAGGCACCCAAAGTCATGCGAGGCCCCATTGGTGGGGATGGGAGTCATGGGCTGCTGCCATGGGGGCTTGGCACTGTCCTCGTGCCTCCAGCATGTGAGAGCCAAGCAAAGGGAAGGAGCAGCTCTGCTTCCTGATCTCCACTGGTGTTTGCAGGGTATGCAGATGAATTGCTTTAGAAAAACACATTAGCAAAGCAAAAGTTTATTCTAGGAAGTAGGAGGTGGGAGAATTGGCAGTAATTCTCCCTAGTATCCAAGGTATTATTAGAGGCTTATCCCTGCTCTGCACAGTAATCACATTGGAAATTTTTGATTAGAAAACAAAATCTAAATGAGAAGTATGAATATTCATTAGGTGTGGAGATTAATATGCATAATTATGCAAATTAGACAGCAATTAAACACCAATTCTCTGGGGAAATGATTAACACAAAGGCACAGAAATAGAAGGATGTAATTTGAAAGAAGTTTCTGGTTAAATGAACAGTAAGGGGAGCGGAGGAGACAAATACCCACCGTGTTTGCCATAATAATCAGCTCTGCTCAGATGAAATGGGAGCCTGCCCACCCCGGCTGCACCCCATGGACCCCCTCACCCCACAGCTTTTGGGTCAGCGGGGCCCCAGTGGGGTGGGTGGAGAGGTGTGGGATCCCCCCAGTCGTGGGGATGGAGCTCGGGGCATGAGCTCACACCTTGCTGGGGCTGTGCAGCCCGAGAGGAGCTGGCAGCAGATGAAAGGAAACCAATTCCTACCACGAGAGTGCTGCAAAAGCCTCCTCTTGGTTCGCTGCCATTGTGGACTGAACCACCCTGATGAGAGAGAGGGGCTTTTGGAGGGCTGAAAACAGCACGGGCGAGAGCTTGCTGTGCACAGCCCCATGGTGCCATCCCCCTTCACCTGCAGGAACACAGCAGCTTAAACCAAAAATAGCCATGAACCACTGTGAGCCCCGACAATGTGCCCTCAGCCTCCTGTTGAGGCTCTTGGATGTTGAGCCATTGAGCACCAGGCAGCTCCTTGCACGCTGCTCCCGCCAGCAAAAATCAGCACTGGAGGCAGTCGGTTCTTCATCTGCAGTGGTCTCAGGGTGGAGCAGAGTCGCAGTGTTTGTTTCTCCTCTTCCCCACTGCCCTCTGTGTTTTGAAGCGTTTCCAGACTGATGTGGGATTTGCTTTGAAGCTGGTGGGATAAAATCCCAGCAGTGGTGGGGAGGTGGGGATGGAGAGGAGAGGCTGATGGGTCGCACCGAGTGGAAGTGGTTTATTAATGAAAATATTGCTTTGTTTGTAGAAGGAAGAGTTAATTTTGTGAGAACACCTTTGAGGCTTTGCTGATAAAGCAAGAGTAACCTTTGTTCTTCCTGTTTTTTTGTAGGTTTGGATGAAAGACCGGGATCAGGTTCCTGGGGAACGGGAGATCAAAACAGCTCCACGTTTGACCAAGGAAGGGTAAGGATGGAGCACAAACACAAAGCTCAAAGGAAAATAAACGGGGGCTCTGCTGTGCCTTTCAGAGCATGCATTTGTGCCCAGGTCAGCCCTGACCCCTGGAACTGCCTTTTTTGCTCCATTTTGGGCCATGTTTGTGTTACTGGAAGGGGGTCAGCAGGCAGAGGGGACCTGACCACTCCTCCAAACCCTTGTGCAGACCTTCAGCCCATATTCTCCCTTCTCCCCATGCTCAGCTTTGGGCATGGGGAGAAGCAGGCTTATTACAATGGGGTCCCCAAAGCAGGATGAGTTTGGGGAGCACTGGCAAGGTTTCAGCATGAAGAAGCCAAAACTGAACAGCGTAGAGCTGGGGCCCGAGGAGGAAAAGAGAGAAAAGACATTAACTTAATTGAAATGGTGTTTTTTTTGACAGATGCTCATGTTTTAATGGGTTTGTGTGATTCGTTTTCGTGATGGCACCATTCCCTTCCCTTAGGTCAGTGGTGGAGCAGCTCTGTGTCTTTTCTCATTTTTATAGAGCTCCTCTTCCCCTCCACTCCCCCCAGCTCAAGGCAGTTCTGGGGCTCTTTGTTCCTCACCTGGAGGGCACTGAGCTGCTGAGCAAGGGCAGAAACCCATCAGGAGCCACCAGCACAGGGCCAACACCCTGTAGATCCCTGCTTTGGTGCTGCGTCCCCTCCAAATGCCACAGCCTCGCTGCCTTGCTCTCTGCCACAAGGATGGGATCATTTCTCTGTCCTGTTTACAAGGTGCTTTTGACTTTGACTTTTCCCACTGCTCCCTGGCAGCCTGGCCTCTCCAGAGCAGGTCTGTGCTGTGCAGCTGATGCGACCCTGAGGCTAACCACGGCCTTTGGCATCTCCAGAGGGTGCCCATCAAGTAGCAGCTTGGGTCTTTTCCCCTCCAGTTGCATCAGGCAGCCTCTCACCACATTAAATGGGGCACACATAGGTACACATCCCACGTTCCTCAGCATTTGGCTCAGCATCTCTGATGATCACTGCCTGTGTTGCTTCAGCAGAGCTATGGTGAAGGCCCCCACTATGGTGAGCACCGGGACCTGCCGTCGCACAACAGCTTGTCTTCATCTCCATTCCTGGGACCTGGACTAGTGGGTGAGTGCCTCCACTGCAGGCTCAGAGCTGGGCCAATCTAACAGCAACATGCACTTCCTGGGAGCATTTTCACCATCCAGCATCACTGCTTCCTCCAGAAGAGCTGCTGTCTAGGCTGTGGTTAAAGCAGCTGTTGGCCAGAGGGTCTCATCAGCACCTAATGTTGCACGGCAGCCACTGTATTTATGGGCACAGTTATTTTTCCCTGTTTTATAGTAGCACTCGAGGGCAGTAACAGAGGTTGATTCTGGCTGTGCTGGTGCAGGAAGGGCTGAGTTTGCTCTCGAGGAGCTGCTAATCAGGGTTGGAGAGGCGTGGAGAGAGGGAGAACAGGCACAGCTCATCCTTAAGGTTTCACAATAGGCTCACAGGGGGCTTTGCCCCACAGCCCCGCTGCCCCAGGCAGTGTGATTCCTGCAGAGAGCTCCCTGCTCCTGTGGTGGGATCTGGGGAACTCTGTCTTGTGTTCTGACTCTCTCTGTCCACCTTCTCTGCCCCCTGGGTGCTGGGTGGCACGAGGGACACAGCACACCTTGCTGTGCCCATTACAGTGATCATGTGGCACTTTACCCATCTCCTTCTCCCCTAGAGTGGAAGGAGAGATTAAGAGCAGAAAATATCCACCCTGAAGGACTTAGAGAGCTGTAATGGCATTAGGAATTGGGCTTAGTCCTCCCCACCTTTGCCCACGCGGTGGTGGGTGGAACCCTCTGATTGGAAGCAGGGGAATGAGAAAGGGGCATTGGGTTTGAAACAGAAAATCCCCACTGGGCACAGAGGTTCCTCCTCTGGAGCAGGTCAGAAAGGGGAAGAAGAGCAGGGTGGCACTGGGAAGCTGCTGTCAGCACTCTTCCTCCTCCTCCTGCCTGTGTTTGTGGCACGAGGCTCGCTCTGAGCTCTGCTACATTTGGTTGCCCTTCAACTTCTGAAGATAGCAAAGCGAGGGAGGTGATTCCTTCTTGTTTCCTGCCCCGGGAGGATGTAAGCAAAGCAGAAGAGATGTTTCTTCATAAGCCAGGGGAGCCTTGATGTCATGTAGCAGGGTCTGTTGGGGCATGAGCTGGGGCAGGAACCCTCCCATGCCGGGAGCAAAGGCAGCCCTAAGAGCTTCCAGGCGAGAAGGAGCTGCCTGGGGAGGAACACAGAGCTTTCCCCTTTGATGTGTGCAGGGAGAGGACACGTTTGGCTTCCTCTCAAAGCTGGGGCTCCCAGTGCTTAGCAAACAGCGTGGCTGCCAAGCTGGCTGCTCCCCAGCACGTGGAACCAGAGCCTCTGTGCCCCAATGGGTGACATCCTCCAACTGCCACCGAGCAGCTCACGCTGGCACCAACACCCCGCGCCGTCCCCATGAGTGCTGGCAATGCCCCTGGCTCCAGGCAGAGCACTTAGAGCCACACCACCAAACCAGGAGCTGGGAAATAGCAGATAGGAGGGGCAGGGGCCTCCTGCCATTTCAAAGTCACTTTTGTTCCTAAAACTGAATGTGGTTGAAGGAGAAAACACCAACCCTGGAGCAGGATCCAAGATAAATACGTAGGTTTTGCTTCGCCTCTGCACTCTTACGCTGAAAACAGCAGCATGGAGGAAGACCACAGGTGGAGCTTTCTCTTCCTCATTACCAAACTGCTGCTGAAAACTTTTCAAGTGGCAAAAATCTTCAAGGGAAAATGAGAGGGAAGGAGAGAGGGTCAAAAAAAAAAACCAACCCAAAAAAACAAAACCCCAATCTTTTTGCCTACAACTGCGGTAGCAGAGTGGGAGGGAAGTGTGAGCTTTGGAGATGTCACCTCCCTGTCACTCCCTGGTTTCCCAAAAGGTCCCCCCGGGTGGCACGAGGTGGTGGGTGATGAGGGAGGAGGGATTTTTTTGTTGTAAATCACCCACCTTCCAAATCAGTCGCTCTTTCACCATTCCCTTTCAGCAGGGAGCGGATGGCTGGGGAGGCATTGCTTAAACGGGGGGGGGGGGAAACTGATAAGCCACAACAGATTTCTTTCTAGTAATTATTTCTAGTAATTAGCTTCTTTTCAGAAGAGTGTCTCTAATCTTGTGCACATTGTGAGCTGTTGTGGATTGTGCTTTTTTCCTGGACAATACTTTTAATCTGCCTGCGGATGGGGCTGGTTGCTGCTCCCCTGGTTTTTGTTAACATCCTCCCCCCTCCCTCCTATTGCAGCCTGGGCTTTGCTCATCCTTCCTCCCCAGGATGAGTTGTGATGGAGTTAGCAGGGCTGGGGAGGTGCTGGGAAGCACCCAGGTGCTCAGGGGGTGTTGGCCAAATCTATGGGCACATTGAGTCCCTTTCCCTTGCATGTCTGCAACTGGGACTTGAGGGGAGAAAAGGCAAACCCACAACTCAATAACACTGCTGAGGTTGTTGGAGGGGAGGCGCTCCTGCTCAGCCTCAGTGTCTTCCCCACGAAAAGGGATCCTGGTGTATGATGTAATGATTTATTCCCTAACTTTCCCTGCTATCTGTCCACCTGAATGCTGTTAGAATAGCAGGATTCAGTTGTTTGGAGGAGGCATTCGGGGACATTCCTGGCACGTTGCACTGAGAGCTGCTTCCATCCCACTCCATGTTGCCTGCTTGGAGCTTCGTCCCATTTCCTGCCCAAAGCCTCCAGGCTGTGCCAAACCCCAGAGCAGAGAAATCTGCCATCCCTCCAAAGTTTGGCATTCCTCAGCATTCACCATCCCTCCTCTTTGCCATCCCTTCCCTCTGCTGTACCTCCTCTTTACCATCTCTGCCATCCCTCCACTTTGCCATCTCCTCTCTTTGCCATCCCTCCTCTCAGCCACCCTCCAGCCCCATTTTCCTACCCAACTAAATTTACAATCTCTGCAGCCGAGATTTTCTCCTCTTTCTGCATTATCCTGGTGCAGGGCTGGGGGATGCCTCTCCCTCTGAAGTTCCTCCCACCCTCACACCGCCGCTGATCAAAGCGTGCAGCAGATTGCTGGTACCAGGCACGCTTTGCTTCTGACATGAATCAAACGAGGCACAAAAGAACAAACATCAGATGAAAAGCAGCAGGTTTGGGGAGAGGCACAGAGCAGACTTGATGCTCACAGTTGTCATATGGCTGTTCTGCTTTCCGTGGTGGGTTTGGGATCGGGGTGCCATCAGGTGGGTGGATACAGAGATGGGTTTGCAGTGGAGAGGGCTGGAATCGCCCTGGTTTCCCTCTGGTTCAGGAGCAGCCCTGATCCTCCCAGTGACACAACCTGCTGAGCTATTTGTGTCACACCACAGCAAATATAGCTGCTAAGCTCTTTTAGAAATTAGGTCATTTAAGAGATCTGTCCTCTGACATCCTGACCTTTGTTTACTTAATGTTTAAGCCTCTGCAGCGAGGCAGCAGCAGGGCCTGGCACATCTGCCCGTTGGGATGGGAGGAGCAGGGCCAGGCTGAAGTCACCCCATCCCTTTGGGGCTCTCAGGATTGGCTGTGCAGCTCAAGGACCGCTCAGAAAACGGGGCTGAGCTCACCATCCCTGCACAGAAGCAGTGCTGGGGGCTGTGGACCGAGCAGCCCATCGCATTCCTGTTGTGGGGGGTGACCCAGGGCAGTTTTCTCCCCACTGTCTTCAGCTGCTCCCCAAGAGCTCTCAGTGTGGCCCCAGTGCGTTATCCTCCATCTTAGGGCTTTAGGTTAAGCAGATTGGCCAAATCCTCCCCTGACGGTTTTGCTCGTTGCAGCAGCGCGGGGAGGCAGGATGCCATCACCCCCATTTTGGAGAAGGGGTTTTTGGGGTGGCCCCATCACTTACCAACTTCAGCCATGTGGGTTCCCCACACCGGAACGGGGCTGCCCTGCTGCTGGTCACAACCTTTGGGTCACCATCTCCATTTCCCCAGCAGCATCACTCATAGCAATCACTGTTGCTTTGTGCTGACCAGGGGTCCCACCTCCCTCACCCCCAGCACCCATGGGTGCTGCATACCAGGCTCCCCAGAGAGGTGTCTGTGAGAACCTCAGGATGGAAACATTTCACCATATGTCTTGGGTTTCTTTTTATTTTTTGTGCTTTCCCCCCCCCCCCCCCGTGACAGCAGCATTCTCAGCACTGTGTGGGTGGGGGGTAGGGGGGGGGAGGGTTGCTGAGCATCAATAGAAGGCATCACGGGTGCATGGGGTGCACATGGGAATGGGTGGCACAGGGCCTTGGGGACACTGTGGGCTGGGGCTGAAGTGAGGAGCGAGGGAACTTTCCCATTGAATGCATTCTCCTTTGGAAAGTTGAGCACCCAGCAAAAAAAAAAGGGGGCAGGAAATAATCCACGAGGGCTGGGAGCTGAGCCCCACCAAGATGGAGTGTCCCATTGTATGGGAAGCACATGCAGCCTGCTCCTTCCCTCCTGGCTCTGAGTTCTCTCTGCCTCTGCCAAACTCTGTGCTTTTTTTATTTAATATGTCTGGAGGTTTGTGTTGTGTTGGGTGGGTTTTTTTCTGTGTGTGTGTGTGCGCTCTGGCCTCCAACTGCCAGTTTCCATGGCCACGAGCACTTCCCCGGTTTGGGGTTTTGCTGTTTGTGGACCGAGCCCTGCCTCTCACTCACTTAAAGGCGCTGCTGTTCCCTGCTTCCTGCAGGCACACGGAGAGCTGCTGCAGAGACGGGGAGGGATGGGTGCAGGGTTCTGCTTCCCCATCACACAGAGCGTCGTTTCTGTTTCTTCTCCACCGTAGGGAAGAGCGGTGAAAGAGCCTCGTACTCCACTTTTGGAAGAGACGCCGCCGGGATGCCAGGACTGAGCCAGGTAAGGGTAGAACACGTGGAGTTTTTTGCTGTGTGAGAGCCTAGGGGTCAACAGCTTGCTGGCAGCTCCGGGCACGAGGTGCTGCAAAGCTCAGAAGGGGCTGCGCAGTGCCTGGTGCGTGCTGAGGGCTCAGGGGAGGAGCTGTCAGAGCTGGGATTGGGGTCGGGGGTTCTCCATCCCGCTGCCAGCCTTGGCACTGCTGCTTTCCCTGCTCCCATCCCAGCCCCGGCACCTCCATCCCTACCACCACCATCACATCAAGCCAGGCTGCAAACGAGAAGGAGCAAAACCCCTCCCTGGCCAGCACCTCATTCTTTGCCAAAGAGAGAAGCTGTGCCGTGGTTGCTGTGCTGCTGTGCCATCATTTCGCTGGGGCAGGCAGTGTTTGGGTCTGTGGGCATTCAGGACCTGTGGCTCATCACTGCATTCAGGGGGGGACGCAGCTGGGGGCTGGGGAGCAAAGCAAGGCGTTATGGAGGGGCACAGCCCTCAGCTGGCCAGCTTTTCTTTTCTCCATGTCCACACACACACACACATTACGTGTTTTAATTTTACACAAATTTGTCATAATTTCCTCTTCTCTGAACTGAGGATGTTTCCTTTGCTGAAACAGCTGTGCTGGCTGCCCGTGCCAGAGTGGATTTAATTTACCACTGAAGCTGCTAAAATAAAAACGGGATGGATGCCAAGCCGGGCTTTTTAATGTGATGGTTTTGCTGGGGTTTTGTGAAGAGGGGGGGGGAGATATAAGGTAACAGACACAGGGTGGGCAAATGGGGCTGCAGGGACATGGGGCTGGATCGGGTGGCAGCGTGGGATGGGGGCATTGGATGTGGGGGGACACCAACCCCTCTCATCGCAGTGCTGCCTGCAGTTCCGCTGCTTCCATTCTGCAGGGGGGTTCTGACCTGTTTGGGTGTTTTTTATTTTTGGAAAAGTGCCCCCCTCCCAAATTGTCCCCGAAATGCCTTTGTTCCTTCCCACGACGCCCTCGTTGAGGCAGATTTATGGCTGCCTGCTCACAGAACAACCTCAGGAAGCATCGCTGGGGGGAGAGACGGGGCAGAAAAGTGCCCATTTCTGGGGAATTTACCCCCAAACTTCAGTGCCCCTGGGGTTACCTGCCCACCACCATCCTTTCCCATTCTGCTCCTGTTCTGCTTGGCCACGCCGGAGCGTTCAGCACAGAGGTAACATGACCAGTGGAACAGATTGCAGGAATGTCACCAGCTGTGAACACACAGCTCCTCTTTCCCTCCCCGACCCCTTTTTGGAGGAGGCCGTGCTTTAAGAGCAGCGCATTTTTCTTCCCAGTTTCTCAAAAGCTTGAAGCCCTCCTTTCTTTCAGCTCAGCCCCTGAAGATGGTTCAAAGGGAGCTTTTGTGGCTCGGAGGCCCTTTGCCATCCCTGTGAACTCCCTATAGAGGCACAGAGCTCAGTCCCAGAGCCAGCAGTGGGGCTGGGCTGGGTGCTGTTTCCCTGCTCTTCCCAGCGCCCCAAGGTCAGCTTGGATAAACACAGGGGAGGAGTTTCCTCATTTCAGAAAGAGGGATTTCACTTTTCCCTGATAAAACGTAAGAGAAAAGCAACCAAAGTGAAAGCATGGCAGCTCTGCAGTGGGTCTGGCTGGTGCCATGGACTGGGATCGTGGCTGTGGCCTTGTGGGCAGGGTGGGACTCAGGTGGGTCACTGATGGTGTCACCTCTCCCATCTCTTGCAGCTGGGATCAAATGGGTGTTCAGGGCATAGCAAAGGGTCACCAGCACCTGCTGAGTGCATCCCTGGGCAGCAGGGAGAACGCATGGCATGAAAGCCCCTCATCTTCTTGCACACCCATCTTCCCCCCACACCTCCCCTCAGCCCCCCTGTATTTACGTGTTGATTTTTCCTCCTGGCCTCTGGGCTTGTTGCTTTTTCCCCTGGCTGCTTTCTGCAGAGAGGTGCTTAAAGGCAGCTCTGTTCTCCCCAAGGGAGCTCAATGCTTTTTCCAGCATCCTCACCCAAATCTTTCTCCCTCTCCTTGTTTGCAGACTGGTTTCCTGCCCAGCGAAATGGGAATCGCCAGTCCGAGCACGCTTTCCCCCACTGGAGTGAAGGGGGGGTCTCAGTATTTTTCTTACCCCAACAATCCTCGCAGGAGAGGTGCTGAGAGCAGCATAGGTACGTTGCTGTGGGCACATTGCTTTGGTTTGGGTGGGTGACCACAGGGCGAGTCCCAATGCTGCTGCTGCCATGGGCTCACCTGGCTGCACATCTGGCATCAGCTCTTTTATTGGTCGTTTGGTTTAATATATCTCCCCCTCCAAAGGAAAAAAAAAATATATATATATATATATATATGGGAATTTGGGCTCTCAGTCATTTGGAATTTCCTTTTTTCCAGTAAATGTCAGGTTGGGTTACAGATGCAGATGGCTTGAGGTTCTTCTATAAACACTTCAGGCCGCATCACACATCAGTGGTCGTTCCTGGAAAAGCTGGGGCTGCTTTGGGATGGCTGTGGGGGCTGCTGGTCCCCACTGGGGCTCTGGGAGCTGCAATGTGACAGCACTGGGGCTGCCCCCCACCCCCAGAACCTCAGGGCCATCACCAGGAGCAGCAGTTGTGCATGTTGGCATCCACCTGGAAATGGGGCACTTTGCTGCTGGTAACAAAGGGTAAGGTTGGGTGCGAATCCCATTTTCGAATGACGAAGCCCAGTTCACCAGAATTTGTGTTTTTTGTCACAGTTCCACCCCACACCCCCACCAGAATCTCTCTGCTGTTATTTTGAGCTTTCCCCAACAAACGAAACCAGAAGTGACCTGGTGCTGTGTGTTCCTTCCAGTGCTTTTTAGAAAAAGGCATCCACTTCGGTCCTGCCACGTTAAGACAGTGCTGCTCCATAGTGCTGCCAGCCTGGGGAATGAATTCTTTTTGCCTCGGTTCATCCTACGATGAATTTCCCCTGTCTCCTGCCCCTCAGTAGGGCTTTTCTTAACCATGAGCTGAAAAACATCTTGTAGGATGCAACCAGCAATACAGTTAGGGATTACGTATGGGATGAAGGGCTGGAAGGCTCTTCCTCGTTCCCATTACTGCCCCTCCTTTGGCCATGGGACGTTCGGGGTCTGTGTGTTCTGCCCTTTGGTTTAGCTGGAGTTTGTTTGCCCTCCTGCTGACTCCCTTTCAAAAGATTCCATCCTTTCTCCTTCTCTCCCGAGCAGATGGACAGCCCAAAAAGGTTCGGAAGGTGCCTCCTGGACTCCCCTCCTCGGTGAGTGGTTGGGGCCCCCATCCCTGCACCCCAATCCCAGCACTGCCAACCCCCAACTCCAGCAAAGCATCAGTGCACAGAAAAGGGAAGGGTTTCTCCCACCCCCTCCCCACGTGGGAGATTGAGGGAAACTCTGCAGGCTGGGGGCACAAACACAGACAGAGGGGTTTTGCCATCAACACCCCACCCCCATCACTTTGAGGTTACATCACAGTGCCCCATTGCAACGGGATATTCAGCACGGTCAGATTTCAGTGCAGGAGGAAAGCAAAGCAGCCGTGAGGCACGCGGGCAGCTGGGGCTGCTCCAGGTGTGTGCACTGCCTGTGCTGCTTTATAGGAAAGCCAAGCAGGCTGCAGGAATCTGTTAGCCATGCTCCTATGGCTGTTGGAGGGGAATAAAGTGAACAATGGCTTTGTGGCTGGGAGTAATGGGATCTGCAGGAAAAGAGGCTGGGGAGGAGGGGATGCAGAGCATGGGAGCTGTCTGGCCACGCAGCCTTCCCAAAAGACCTGAGGGATGTGGCACTGCACCCTGTGCTGCCGGGGGGGAGCCTATAACTGCAGGATCCCAGCTGTAAGGAAAGAGACTCTGCTTTCATAGGGAAAAGCTTGCTGCAGAAAATCGTGGTGTGTGTGAAATTCAGAGCTCCCAAACCCCGGCTGCCATGTGGGGAAAGCGTTGCTTTGACAAATGGCCCTTTGTTGGCCTCAGATTTCAAAGGTGCTGGGGAGCTCCCTGTCACTCTGGTGCTGCTCAGGGGGCCCCGATGCCCCCAGGAGCCGCTGGGTGTTTGCTGGCCCCATGCACGTGTCAGCACCAACACCTGCACCCCAGCTATTCCAGCACCCCATAGGCAGTGGGGTTCTGCAGCAGAACACAGCAGCCCCGTGCTGGCAGCTCAGCGCCACGCGTGCTCTGCATCCACCTTTACTTTTAATGGGTCCCCCCCACCTCCCTCCTTCCCAGCAGTGACCTCTGCTTTGTGTTGTGCTGTTGAACTTCCACGCTGGGGGAGAGAAATCCACACCTAAGTGGTATGGGGAGGAGGGGGAGGGAGGTGGGGTGGGACAAACGGCAGCACATCAAAGGCTCTTTGCGGCCCCGCTCCGTGTTATCGCTGGAGCCCATGCAAAACAAACAGGTTCCAAAGCCTCTCCTTCAAAATAAAGTGCTTGGATGTGCAGTTCCGAAGCTGCTTTGGATACGTGGAGCAGGCACACGGTGCCTCGTGGTCGTGGCACAGCTTGGGGACCCCGATGGGGTTGGATGGAGTGAGGTGATGTGGTTCTGGGAGAGGTGGGACGCTGGGAATGGAGCTGGGCTGCATCCCAATGTGGGGTCGGTGGCTCGGTGCTCATCCTCCGTGGGTTCAACCTTCTGTTTGCTCTCCGTCTGCTGCGGTCCCACCCGGCTTGGTGCATTTAAACCAGAAAAAACAGAGAGGAAAAGAGGGGAAAAAAAAATAATAATAATAGCACGCAACCAAGAAGCACGCAGCTATAAATCCCTTCAGCTCCCAGCTCTGGGGCTTTGTGCACGGCCCCCGGCCGGCCCTCGCCGTGCTGGCAGTTCCAACTGGAGGAAATGACCTCACCTGGAGGTCCCCGAGGCCGACGCCGGGGTTTGGGGCCGGGGGGGGAAGAGGGGAGGTCGAAGGGGGGGGGGAGGTGGTTGTGAAGGGGGGGGTTGGCGCTGATTTACCGCTTCCTGCGGCGTTTGGCCGCCGTTCCCCCAACGCTGGGACAAGCACTCGGGCTTTGGGGGATCCCACAACAACTTGTAGGGTTTGGGGAGCGACGGGGTCGGGGATGTGGGATCGGCAGCCGAAGCAAAACCTCTTTGCAGCCCCCCTCTCTCTCTCTCTCGCTGTGTTTTCTTCCCCTCCTCGGCTCTCTGGATGCATTAAATGGATGCGGGGGCCCTGCTCAGCTCCCCCCCCCCCCCCCCCCATCCCCCCTCCCCGCAGCCACGCAGCTGCCTCGCTCGCTGGCCGGGCGCCAAGCCCTGGCAGATGGCGCGGGGCCCATTAGACGTGCTTCATTCGATTCCCCCGTCCCAGCTCCCGCTATTTAATCAAATTAGAGGAAAAGTCAATTTGCCGGATTCTCAATTCTTCGCAGCCTTCCTCCTCCTCCTCCTCCTCCTCCTCTTCCTCCTCCGTTCACCCGCTCTCTCTCCAACCTGGCGCTGCCCACCGGCCCCGCATGCACAGCGTGGTGCAGAAAGCAAATCTTGGGGTTTGGGGGGTTGGGGGGGGGGTGTTGAGCTTGGAGGGCAGCTGCCTGCGCCCATCAGGTTTTCCCCTTCCCTCTATTTCTCTTTTTTCCCCCTCTTCTTGCCACAAATGTCGACCAGTTGCTTCCAGCTCTGATGTAGGGCAGAGTCCGTCCCCCCCCTCTCCAAGGAGCCCCGTAGCCACGTGGGGGGCTGGTGGGGCTGATGACTGCAAGGAGGGGGGGGGTCTGCCTCATCCTGGGGATGGAGATGGGTATGGGGGGAAACCACGTGGCACAGGGGAAGCAGGAGGAGAGAAGCAGCACTGAGAAGCAGGAACCGGGGGCACAAAGGGAAAAAGAAGTATTTCATTTTAACACCGGTGCATTTCAGAGCTTTTTTCAATCCATCCCCACCCCCCATCCGAGAAAAAAAGAAGAAATTCTCAGCGTTGTGAGCAGTCAGGGGAATTGAGAGTGGTTTTCTCTGCCCTCACCGATGAGGGTTCTCAGCCAGGGGTCAGAGGGGGTGGGTTGGGTGCGGGGTGGGGGCACAGAGCACCCAAATCCCATCCCGTGGAAGCACTGCTCTCCACGAGCAGCATTCCTGGAGCCCCCGCGCCCTCCTCTGCTTTCGGGGGCATCGAAACCAACCAAAAAAATCAGATTGTGGTTTCGGAATGAACGGCCGGGGGGATGAAAATAGACTGCAGGAAAGGTTCTCACGTAATTTCGAGTGGCGTTTCGGTTTCTTTGCGTGTTGAATTCTTGAGTTCAGAAATCGGAGCCGCTGCCATTTGGTGCCCTGGAAGGGCTTTCTGGGATGAGTTTGGGTCATTTTGGGAAAGCAGATCTTCTCTTTTGCATCACAGAGCTGAGCAGAGCTGCTGAAAGCTGGCTGAAAGCTGGCAGCGCCCTGTGCCATCCTGCACAAGGGGCCGTGCCCCCCCCCACCTCTTATTTTCAGTAGTTTGCAGTTGGCCCCGTGCATGAGCACACGGAATGGGGCTCAGGTGCTGCCGGAGGGGTTTGGGGTCCCCGTGGAGGCTGTGGTTTGGGGCTGTGCTGTTGCAGGTGTAGAGCAGTGCGATTGAAGTACTGCAGTGCAGCAGAGCTGCGCCCTTGCAGGTTCGCCAGCAGACACAGCGCGGGGTTGGGGTGCAGTGATGAGGTCCCAAGGCCTGCTGTGTCCCCACCACCACCCTGACCCATCCCATGCCCTTGGGCGCGGGTTTGCATGCAGAAACGATGGGGTTTGTGGTTGCTCATAAAAAGCTATAACCGCAAAAACGGGAACTGGAGCAGAGCACCGAAACTGGGGCCAGCACAGCCTGCTGGGTGCCATTCCGGGAAGGCAGGGGCTGTTGGGCTCCTGCCCTGCATCCCCAGCCCTGGGCTGCTCCACTCAGTGCTGTCTCCATTGCTTTGTCCCCATCTGTCACCCATGCAGGGTGTGCTGAGCCCTGGGGTGACGCTCTGCTCCTCGCCCCTCTCTGCCTTGCAGGTGTATCCATCCAACTCAGGTGATGACTACAGCAGGGATCCGGCTGGATACACTCCCTCAAAACCTCCCAGCACTGTATACCCCGGAGCCTTCTATATGGCAGGTGAGCAGCTGAGACATGGAGTGGCTAACGGGAGGGATTGCAATGCATTGGTTCAGGGCTGGAGCAGCCCTGTGCCCTGCAGGGTGCAGTGGGGATGGATGCAGTCCTTGCTCAGGCTATGGGATGCATACCAGCACCCCTAACCCCGCTCACAGCTTCTCCTTTCTTTCCAGACGGGCTTCACAACTCGCCAGACCTGTGGAGCTCCCCTGGTGCCATGAGCCAGTCCAGCTACGGGGCCATGCTGGGCAGTTCCTCCTCCCCTCTCCCGCAGTCCGCCAGCTTCAACAGTTTACATCAGCACGAACGCATGGTAACGTCCCCAGCTGTCCCCCCCAGCGCCCCCTGTTGGGGTCGGGTCGGTGGTCGAAGCTCCAGGACCCCCCTTAACCCTCCTCTTCCCTCCCTCCAGAACTACCAGCTGCATTCAGGAGAGGTGAATGGCGGGCTGCCCTCCGTGTCAGGCTTCTCCTCTGCCTCCACCCCATATGGCGTCTCCAGCCACACGCCGCCGATCAGTGGGACCGACACCATGATGGGTACGTGCCCCCCCCCTCCCAGAGCACCCTACTGACACACAGGGACCAAGCTGGAAAACCAAAGCCCCAATATCAGGGCTGGAGGTGCCCATCTCTGCGTATCTGCACGCTGTTGATCCCTTTTGTGTCACAGGGGACAGCTCACCCCTGCCTGGGTGCCTGCGCAGCCCCCAGGGAGCGGGGAGGGGGTGGATGTGGGCTTTGCCAAGCAGCTGAGTGGGACTGGGAGGAGCCCCAGGTCTTGTGGAATCAGCACTTGGAGATGCTGTGATGCTGCGAAGCCATTCATCCAAATCCCAAACGCACCATTCAGATGCTGCATTAAACCCCTGGGTGCTTTAATCTCTGACCCTGCTGAGCCCGTTACAAAACGTGTTAGCGAAATGAACTCGTGTTCCCTGGGAAATGAGCATCCTGACCTGGATTCCTGGGGGAAGATTTGCTCAGAGAAAGGGAAACACATCGAGAAGGATTTATACGAGGTGCCTTGTCCCAGCAGCTCTGTGGTGCCCTGCCAGTGATGTCCGTGTCCTCTCTCAACAGGTAACAGAGGAACCACGGCTGGGAGCTCGGGAGACGCTCTTGGGAAGGCACTAGCTTCAGTAAGAGCTGCTGCACATCCCCGACTGTTCCCTGCCCCTGCAGACCTCCCTCTGCACCGAGGACCATCTAGGCAGTGGGAAGATGGACGCGTGAGAAGTTTGGGGGAACCTCTGCACCCTCAAACAAACACAGCTGCCACCCCGAGTCCTGGCGCTGTGCTAAAGCCCCTTTAATCAGATGCCTGAGGCAGCACGGGGTGTTACTGCAGTCCCGTGAGCAGACCCAGACCCACACAGCCCTCATGGTGGGACCAGTGGGTCCTGGTGCCCAGTCCCTACGTGTGCTGCTGCAAACTGGAGGGCACTGTCCCACTGAGAACGGCGTTCTCTGCTATGGGGCTGTCAGAGCTCAAGGCTGCCCCTGTCCCATTCAGCACAGGGGCCTTTGCTTCTACCTGGTGCTTTGAGGAGGGCTCAGCACTGCACCCCATATTTTTGGGGGGCTCCAGCTTCCCTCCAGCGTGGGAAACCAAGAAGGGATAGTGCAGGGCAGAGGCACTGGGTGCTGGGGGTGGATGAGGGCTGGCAGTGGGGCAGGAGGGACACTCACCATTCTGTGCAGCAGCACTGGGGGAGTTCTAAATCAGAGCTGAGCACTGCTGACTGCGCCCTGCTTCTCTCCCTCTAGATTTATTCCCCAGATCACTCTAGCAATAACTTCTCATCAAACCCCTCCACACCGGTCGGCTCCCCGCAGGGCCTTGCAGGTAGGTGAAAGTCTTGTTCCTTATCTAAAGAGGCCCAGAAGCTTTGCTGTAAGGCACTTCCCAGATCGGCTCCATGGAAACCCTCCTTAAAATCCCTACGCTTTGGGCAAATCTCACCAAATCCCATTTGTTTTTAAAAGCAGGGGAGCAAGCTAAAGCATCTCTGCCACCCCCAAGCTCCTGGGGGAGCCCCATCTCTGTTGCACCCCATCTCAGTGGGGCTCGGGAAGTTTGTCCCTGGCTTTCCTTCCTAATGGAATGAACCCAGTATAAACTGGGAAGCAGCCAGAGCTGCTGCAAAACCATTTCAGTGCCTGATGAAAGCCCATACCCTCAGTGTGCCGTGCAAAGCCACCAACCTGCTGCTCCATGCCTGTGAGGCCCCATGCAGTGTTACGGTGTCCCTATGCATGCCGTGGTGGCCCAGCTTCCAGCCCCACCTAGCGGCTGCTGTGCCCGGTCCCAAGCTGTCCCTGTTTATTTCCAGGCACATCCCAGTGGTCTCGAGCGGGCGGACAGGGTGCCTTATCTCCCAGCTACGAAGGGAGCCTCCACACTTTAGTAAGTGCAACATCTCCTCGCTCCTCTTCTCCTTTCGTTGTGTCCCTGGATGGTGGGATCAGGACCTGAAGGGGGAGGGTTGGGTGACAGAGTGGTGTGGGCTGGAAGGGACCTTCAGGAGTGATGTTTGTTGGGATGTGGTCAAGCAGGTTTAGGCACTGGTTCCTGACCCCCATCCACACCGCCAGGTCCAGCCCAGTTGTGTCAGAGCAGAGCTGCTCCTGTGACACCTTGGTGGTGGCACTGCTGGGGTCAGGCTGCTCGCCCCTGTATCTGCCCTGCAGCCTAAGCACAACTTTATGGGGCTGCTGGCTTGGCAGAGATTAACAGATTTCTTTCTCCATCCCCTCTTTCCAGCAAAATAAAATGGAAGACAGGTTGGACGAAGCCATCCACGTGCTGAGGAATCACGCCGTGGGCCAGACGGCCGCCATGCCAAGCAACCACGGGGACATGCATGGGCTGCTGGGCTCTGCTCCCGCACACAGTGCTGCTGTGGGCAGCCTGGGCCAGGCCTTCCCTGCCTCTGTCATGTCCCTGGGGGGTCGACACCCCAGCCTGGTGAGTGATGGATGGGGCGTGCATCCCAGGTGCATAGGGTCCTGCCCTGGTTCCCCCCTGTCTAGAGCTTGGTGACCACAGGAACGTGTTCTGAGCAGGTCTGGGTCCCTGCCAGAGTGATCATCGTTGCAGAACCAGATGTGCTTTGCTCCCCAGACTCTGGTACAGAGCTGTGTGCTCCGTGCTACAAACCATCTGCAGCAATGGGGGTGTTGGCTCTGTGCTGCCAAGCCCTGCCAGCGTAGTGCAGCCCCACGGGATGCAGCCTGCTCAATCCTCATCCCTTCAGTGTGGGGTCTGTGCTGCTGGGGTGCCCTTGCTCCAGTGGCTTTGTGGGGGCTGCAGAAACGTTGATACCCTGTGGAGATGCGTGCAGCCAGGCAGAACGGCCTGTGCAGTATGCAAGCAGTGCATCCCAGCAGAGAGGCTTTTCCATGGGATGGCAGCACTGATGAGGGCTTTCCCCTTGGCTCTGCTGGTGGGCAGGGCATGGAGCTGCAGCCCAGCGCCCCGCAGCCCCCAGGGCAGGTTGGCTCCTCTCCTGCATGGGGGGCATGTGGCTCTGCGGGGAGACCTGTGCTGGCCCTGACACTTCCACCCCTCAAAGCTTGCTCTGCTCATTCTGCTGTAGGTGGGAGGAGGTCACCCTGAAGACGGGCTGTCCAGCACCCCCAGCATGCTCCACAACCATGTCACACTTCCATCACAGCCCAGCTCACTCCCTGACCTCAACAGGCAGCAGGACACGTACAGTGGTAAGGCAGCTCTGCACGTGGGCATGCATGAGTCCCTCTCGATGCCAGGGTTTGGGGTCACCCCACATCCAGCTTGGGGCTCCTCACAGAACCCAGTTCACGCACTGCACTTTTCCCAGAGGTCCTTAATGTGGCTTCTGGCTCATCATGCATGTTTCTGCCCCTCTGGCTGTGGGCACAGTGAGACCCCGGGCACTGCACTGCTTGGGGAAGGGTGGACTCTGGCTCTGGAAGTTGTGAGTGGTGAAATGGGAGTGAAGGGGGAGCAGCAGAATTGGAGACCCCCCCTAGAAGGGTGAGATGGGGATATGATCCCGCATGAATGGAGACTCCCAGCCCCTTCCAACCTCTTGTGTTCCTTGGCAGGCTTGTCAGGGGGGCTGGGGCGAAGCAGCGTCTCCTCAGGAACCAACGAGATAAAGAGGGAAGAGAAGGAGGATGAGGAGAACACATCAGTGGCAGATAACTCTGAAGAGGAGAAGAAGGAGCTGAAACCCTCCCGGAATAGAACAAGGTGCTCTTTGAACAGGTCTCTCCCTTCACTTTGTAAAGCACTGAAGGCATTTGGCTTGGGCTGCAGCCACAGTGACCCCCGGGCAACTGAGCTCAGCCTGGTGACACTGGGACCTGTCCTTGTGGTGCAGACCCTCTGCCCCTGCCCAGCCTCAGAGGAGCACAGCCTGGGTCCCGTGGCATTGGAACCAGCCATGCCAGGCAGAGCTCCTGGCCACCTGCCCTGCTGTCCTTATGGCTGTGGGTTTTCCTCGTGCTCATAAAGCAGAGGTTTGGGATGTGCTCATTCAGGGCATTGCTCGTGGCCGTGCCCAGGCAGCACAGGTACTCAGCATTCCTGGGCACAGAGAGAAGGCTCCATCCTCTCCCTGTGTCAGGCTGCTATTCCATTTGCTTTGGGCTCCTGCATCCCCCATCACAGCCAACCAGACATGGCAGTGGGTCAGGTGGGAGCCTGGCAGCGTGCTGGCCTGTCCCCAGCCTCGCCATCAGCTTGGTCACCCTCCTTGCCAGCAACCACCTCCTGCCCTCCACCCACCCTCTGACACCAGGGTCACCCCCCAACACCTCCTCGGAACCAGCACACGCCTCCCAGCGACAGCTCGTGCCTTAATCACAGAACCACACAATCATTCAGGTTGGAAAAACCCTCTCAGATCACCAAATCCAACCCCAACCCCTCCCCCAGGTGCCACGTCTCCACGGTTCTTGAGCTCCTCCGGGGACGGTGACCCCACCACCTCCCCCAGCAGCCGATGCATCACCGATTGTGTTGTGCTTTCTTTATTTTGTTGTGTATACAAAAAAAAAAAGGGAGGAAGAGGAAGAGCCTTAATGCTTCTCTCCGTGTCACTGCATGTCCCCGTGCCGCGGCGGGGGGACATCTGGGTGCCTCCATGTGTGTTTTCTTGTCTGTGAGTTGACCGGTGCTGAGAGTGCACGCGAGGAATGTCCCTGTCTCGTTCTTATTTTAAACCATTAGTCAAGATGAGGATGAGGAGGACGATCTTCTTCCCCCAGAGCAAAAAGCCGAGAGAGAAAGAGAAAGGAGGGTCGCCAATAATGCCCGTGAGCGCCTGCGGGTCCGGGACATCAACGAGGCCTTTAAAGAGCTCGGACGCATGTGCCAACTCCACCTAAACAGCGAAAAACCACAGACCAAACTGCTAATCCTCCACCAGGCCGTATCAGTCATACTGAACCTGGAGCAACAAGTTAGAGGTCAGTGAGGGTCCCGGAGTGGTGATTTGACGTATCTGATCGGCACGGGGCTGTCTGTCTGTCTGTCTCTGTGACGTGTGCTGTGGTGCCTTGCGCTCTCTCTCCCCTTTGCCCTTGCATTCCCGAGGCTGTCGATGCCTTTTTTTTTTTTTTAATTATTATTATTATTTTCTCCTTTTTTATTTTTCCTTTTTGGTTGTTTTGTTGGTTTTTTTTTTTTTTGGTTTTTTTTTTTGGCTTTTTTTTTTTTTGGTCTCATCCCTGCTGTTCTCTCTCTGTGCTCCCCACTGCATGCCGCTCCGCCGCGGGGCACCCGCAGCCCTGGGACAACTCAGCCAGCAGTAAAACCAAACCCACCTCCAACAAACAGCAAAATCCCACCTCCCCAAACTCATTCCTCCCTGCAGCACAGGGAGCTGCCTCCTCCTCCTCCTTCCCCCAGCAAAGCACTGGGGACTGCGGAGCCGCATGGGGACGGCGGCACAGCCACACTCCCATCCACACCAGGAGCTCTGCGTGTGCACAGCAGAGCCCAGAGGATCCACAGGACTTTGCTGCTTTGTTCCACACCTGCAGTGCATGCAGTGCATGCTTCCACCTCCCGGGCAGGTTAACCCCTTTCTCTCTGCAGAGAATTGTTGTAACACATCAACCCGTGGTCTGTGCCTGGCTGTGCTCCTCTCTGCTGGCCTCTGCTGTCGCATTGATGTTGGAGTCCTTTGTGCCTCTCTTCAGTTTGTAATTTTTTATTTTTATTTTTTTGCTTTTCATAACATATTTTTTTCCTGTCTCTTTTTTAATTTCCCCCCCTCTTTTTTTTTTTTTTTTCCTTTTTTTTTTTTTTTTCCTTTTTTTTTTTTTTTCCCCTTTTTTTTTTCCCTCATTTCGAGTTTTGATTTTTTTATTTTATTTTATTTTATTTTGGTTCTGTTCTTTCCAATCTCCTACAGACAGTCCCCAGCCGTGACCTCTCGGTGGTCCCACTCTCTACCTTGTACTTGCTGCTTGCGGCCGGAGGCAGGAGCCGAGGGGTGGCGGGGGGTCAGACAGAGTTGGCACCGTGTTCACTTTGGTCTCCCACGCTTGTCCCTTTTTAAACCCTTCTTGGACACAGCTGGGGACACCGAGCCCCACGTGCAGGTTGTAGCTCAGGCAGATAGAATGTCACTGCTCCACCGGTTCTGCTCTGGGACGGAGCAAAGCTGACCCCAAATCCCTCCGTGCCGTGGAGTCACCCTGCGTGCCCTCCACTTTGTGCTGTGGTTGGTGGCAGATGGGACAGGAAGGAGAAGGAGCGGGTCGAAGCGTTGCAAGGAGCCACGGTGACGCCAGGCTGTGTCATCGTGGTGCTGTGCATCCTTAGGGGACAGCACGTGGCCCTGTGGTGCTCCAGCAGCACGAGAGGCAGACAGCTGCAGCCCACCTGTGGCGCGTCTGAGCCACCAGCGTTAGCTGGGAGCAGCGGCAGCGTCGTTGCTGGGGTGGCTGGGGGTGGCCTCGCTACTTTGGCCATCCCAGCTGCTGGAGAGGCAGTGGCTGTGCCAACCGAGCACCGTGACGGCGAGGAGAGGACAGGACAGGGACAGGGCTGGCGCCCAGGACCTCAGATAGGGGCGTTCCGGTGAGAATTTTTGCTCTGGGGGAGAAGGTCGTCTGTACAGCGCAGTGGGGGTCGCAGGGCTGCGGCGATGCCATGGGGTACGGTGCTGCCAGCCTGGTGCTGCTGAGGCAGGAGCTCTCCCAGGCTCCCATCCCTGCCTGGAAGAGAGAATTCCCCCTTTCAGGATGCTGGGGGGGGTTTGGGCTCTCTGGGACGAGCTGGGTTCAGTGCACTTGAAAGTGACTCAGGGGTGCTTGGCCCCCCACGCCGCTGCTGCCCAAACCTGTCAGAGGATTGGGGCACAAACCCTTTGTTGGGATACAGATGTACAAAGAGGGGTTTGGGCGTCATCTCGGGTGATAAACCCAATGTTTTGGGGCCGAGATGTGCCCAACGTCCCCCACATTTCGCAGCTTTGACGTTGTGCACGGGGTGCAGCTGTTACCACTGCACTCCCCCCCCACGCTGGCAGCACCTCCCATAGCCTGCAGAGGGGACAAACAACCCCCGCAGTCCGGACCCCCCCCAGCAGCACCCGCAGCAATTGGCTTTGAAAAACGAGGGCCTCTTGGGCCGCTTCCAGTGGACAGCAGGAGCACTACCAGCACGGCAACGTCTGCCCCCTCCCGGAGCACCCCCCTGACTAACACTGTGGTGCTGTGAACCCAGCAGTACAGACGAGGCCTTATCACTGGAGGACAAAGATCTGAGGGACCGGGAGAGGAGAATGGCCAATAACGCCAGGGAGAGGGTGCGCGTGCGGGACATTAACGAGGCCTTTAAGGAGCTGGGACGCATGTGTCAGATGCACTTAAAAACGGACAAAGCACAGACCAAACTGATCATCCTCCAGCAAGCGGTGCAGGTCATTCTGGGCCTGGAGCAGCAAGTACGAGGTATGGAAACTGCCAGAGGTTCACCTCGGGGTCCCTCTCCCCATTCTGTGCGCGCACCTCTGCTGCCGCTCTGCTTCACGTGCGCTGACCTTTCCGAAGCCACCGCCTGGGTTTGGCTACTTGGAGCCTCTCTCTGTCCCTTTTTTGTGCTTTATGGCAGTTTGGCACCCGGATCCCTTTGGAAAACTGGGCTTTTGGGCTTCGCTTTGCTTCGCTCCCAACGCAGCGCTGGGCCGGGTGCGGGGTTTTGCTGGAGCGCAGCCACGTCCCTGCAGAGCCGCAGGAGAGAGCAGCTCCCACCTCGCATGCCCCGTTCTGTCCCGTGCCTCTGCCCTCGCTCCTGGGATGCTGTTGCCCAGACTGAGCTCGTTCCCTTCCCTCCCCTGCTGTTTTTTTGGCACAGAGCGCAATCTGAACCCCAAAGCTGCCTGCTTGAAACGTCGGGAAGAGGAGAAAGTATCCGGAGTGGTGGGAGACCCGCAGATGACACTTTCAGCTTCGCATCCTGGTCTCGGAGACGCTCACAACCCCGTTGGACACATGTAAAGGTACCATTCCCTGCCCTGCCATCCCAGTCGGCTCCGTCCCGCTCCTCTTTGCCATCCTCCCTTGGTGGCCGAGCCAAGTCTCCATCCAGAGTCTGTGTATTTATCACAAAGGAGCCTGGAGAAGAGAAGGCTGCAGGGTGACCTCATTGCAGCCTATCAATACCTGAAGGGAACCTACAGCCAGGAGGGGAGTCAACTCTTCAGAAGGGCTGACAACAGCAGGACTAGGGGAAATGGATCCAAGTTGAAGGAGGAAAGATTTAGGTTGGATGTTAGGGGGAAGTTCTTTAACAGGAGAGCAGTCAGGCCCTGGAACAGGCTGCCCAGGGAGGTTGTGGATGCCCCGTCCTTGGACGTGTTCAAGGCCAGGTTGGACGGGGTCCTGGGCAACCTGATCTGAATGTGGATGTTTGGTGGCCCTGCTGGGCAGGGGGGTTGGAACTACATGATCCTTGAGGTCCCCTCCAACCCAGGTGATTCTGTGAAAAGAGGCAAAACCCAAGGAAACTTACAGCTTACGTCTCAGCTGCTCCTCAGCCCCACTGGGCCCTCAGGGTGCTTCGTCCCACTGCAGGCTGGGGACGCTGCTCCATTCCTGTTCTCATTGGTGCTTTTCTTGGTTTGATTTTCAGATCCTTTTGTTCCTCTGGACGCGGAGATCCACAGGATGCCAATCCTGGCTGCGATCTGCGACCTTCCCGACCCATAAACTTTAGTCCTGCTCATACTGACACACGTGGACGGATCCTGGCGTGACGTAAGGGGTGGAAAAACACTTTGAAACGCAAACAAACAAACAAACAAAATTGCCTTAAGTATAAAGCGCGGAACAGTCGATACATATCACTCAGTTAGGAGGGGGTGGCGTGTTCTCTTGGCTTGTTCACAAGCAGCCAGCAGCAAAATTGTGCCTAAGCTTCGTATTTCTCTCTCCTTTTTTTTTCTTTCTTTCTTTTTTTTTTTTAAACAAACGAAAAAAAAAAAGAAGAAAAAAAAAAAGAAAAAAGACCATTAGTGACGAGATTTTTTTACGTAGAACAAATTAGCGACGCCTTTTGGGCTCTGTGTTTTTTTTTTTGTTGTTCTGTTTTTTAGCTTCTTTTGCCTATGTTTTGTAAGCGACGAAAAAGGAATTTTTTTGGGATTTTTTTTTTTGTTTGTTTGTTTTATTTGTTGTTTCGTTTTGGGGTTTTTTGTTTTTTGTGGGTTTTTTTTGTATAAAAAAATGTCTTGTACCCCCACGCTTTTCTGCTGCTGTTTCTATAGTTAACGTTGCATCTTTAGGATCAACCAGAATATTAAAATTGTATTAAGAGAGACTGGATATAAAGAGAGGAATTCTCACATTCGGCTCTGAAAGCCACTAAAAGCGAATGTAGCCACAGCAAGGAGGTGTTGGTCCTTGCCCGGCTTGTACCTTCCATGACAAAACAAACTCGTGCTGAATTCTCCATCTCTTTGCTTCGGCCACTTCTGATTTGGGAGAAGGAAATCAACCAGCGGCCTGCAGCAGCTCCTCCCAGGAGGAAAAATTCCCCATTTGCGGGGCTGCGCCGGCTCCCCTTCGTTCCTGTTGGGTGCAGGGGCGCCGTGATGGGAGGACAGGAGCACGGGGTGTGGAAGGGAACAGAGGATGGCTGCGTTCCCAAGGTAAGCAGAGCTGCTGCAGATGAAAGCTGCCCACGCCTGCAAGTGGCCGCCTGGAGCCCGAGGCTCTTCCAGAGGCAGCGCTGAACAAAGATGACCGAACAAAGCTGGAGGCATTGGGAAGATGCGGTGGCGGATGAAGCAGCAGCATTGAGGACGCAGTGCCTGGTGCCGTGGGAGCGGATGGACGCACAGACACGGGCAGCTCAGCCCCCGGCCGTGGCTGCGGTGGGATCCCAGCCCAGAGTCGCAACCGTCGGGAAGCGGCAGCGCTGCAGGAAGAGGGGCGGCTCTGCGTCCCGCCGCTGCATCCTGGAGGTCACACTGTGCCCATCCTGCCGTGGGGCAGCCAATATCATCTGCATAGGCAGGAAAGGAAGGCAGCAGTGGGCACCCACCCCACACAGCGCTCCGGCAGCCAAGCTGTGCTGCGCTCCCTTCGCTCTGAGCCGCACCGGGTCACCCCAGATGTGCCCAGCAGGAGGAGAGCCCAAAGCAAGGAGGCTGCAGGAGGTGCTGAGCCCTTCTGAAGTTGGCAGTGGAAGATCATCCGCCGAGATTCTGGGTTGTTGTTTTTTTTTGTTTCTTCCCTTTCCTTCGCCAAAATCACTTCCAAAATGTTTTCTGCCTGCTTCTTTCCAGCTCTGTGGGCTGATGGTGTCAGTGCTCCAGGACGATGCCATCCCCCATTCCAGCAGCATCTGCAGTGCCCTGGAAGTGGGTCAGCTGCCTCCGTGGGGCAGGACAGGCCATGCGGACAGCAAGCAGGGTCTGTCTGTGTCCTTTGTTTTTGGGCCCCGTGTTCCTGGGAGAGCTGTATTGCTTCAGTACAGGGAGAGGGAAGGGCTAGCAAGCAGCACTGGGTCCTGTGGCATTTCCTTGGTGTAACCTTGTGCTTTGTAGCTCCGCTTCGTGCTCTGGCAAAGGGTGCTGGAAGCACTTGGGATGTTGCTCATCTCCCCATGGCAGTAGCTCAGAATGGGGCTGGGTGCTGGAGCAGGATGGGATCATCTCTCCCTGCTGGGACTCTGCAAGGTGTAGGAGGCCATGTTGGATGCTTCTGGCTTTCCCTGCTCCCAGCATCACGTCTGTGGAGTGAGACCTGAGAGCAGGGCAGCCTCCTGCACCGCGCCGGGAGCTCGCTGGCTTACAGCACTCCTGCTCTGGGTTCTGCCTGTGGGACAGCCCTGCAGCAGAGCTGGGTCCCCCCCCAGAGCACCCTGCAGAATCCCAGCCCTGCGAGCCCAAAACCATGCAGAAAGCTTTAGAAGTGCTTCCCTGACACGTTGATTTAGCAACAAGAATTTGAGAAGGTGGTCGCGTACAGATGGATTTAAAGAAAATCTCCGATTTTAAAAGGAAAAAAAAAATCTTATAAAAATCCATAAGCTGTCAGCAAAATTGAAGATTTCTTGTTAGCAAAAACTAGCCAGCTTCTTGGCAGGGCACAGACAAAGAGCCCTCGAGCACAAACCGCGCTGTGCCAGAGCTTGGGGAGGTTTTGGTGCCTCTGTTCTGCGCAGGGCAGCACGGTGGGGACGTGGCATTGCTGTGCCTCTGCTCGTGTCTCACCCTGCAGCGCTGAGCTGCAGGGCAGGAGCTGGGTCACAGCCTGTGCACCTCGGGGCTGGGAGCAGCAGAGGCTCTGCTGGAGTCGGGGCAGTGCAGGATTGTGCTTTGCCGTCCCCATCGCTCGGGGGATGGGATCTGTCTGCTTGGCATTGGGAGTTTTTGTCCCCTCTGGATGAGAGATGCAGAATTGCAATGTGGGACCTTCCCAGCTGTCATTTGGGCGAGCAGCCGGCGCGGTGAGACGGTTTCTTTGAGGTTATGCTTGAGCAGGAAGGGCAGAAGCAGGCTGGGATTTCCCCAGGAGTCTGCAATTTCAGGTTCAGTGCAGCAGCCTCTCTCAAAGGCGCTTTGTGTCTGAGGCATCTGAAGCCAGCAGAGCCCTCAACCCCCTCAGCTGAGGCCTTTGAGAGCCAGGAGGCTTCTGAATGCCCGTTCCCATTCCCTCTGTCCCTGAGTTTTGCCTTTATGGAGTGATGTCTCAGTGGAGCCTGCAGCCCTGCTGCGTGCTGTGCCAGCCCCTGGCCTGGGGCTTTAGAATAGAGCTGGGGATGGGGAGGAGAAGCAGCACTGGGCTGGGACAAGCAGAGAGCCCACACACAGCATGGCCAACCCACAGCGAGCCACGGCCGCTGGATTCCCCATTCCTGCTTAACACCAGCACTAGCAAGACCTGATCGCTGTACACAGGCTTGCACGAGGTCTTTGCCCTGTTAAATCCTATGCAACCCCCTCTCCTCTCCCTCAGGGCCCTGCAGGTCCCAGCCCAGCCCCTTCTCTCTGCTCTGTGCCCGCCGAGCCCCGGTGCTCTCAGGGTGCAGCTTCATTTCCAGCAGCTCCAAAAGCATTTCCAGACCTGCACCCCGAGACCGCGGGTCGGATGAGCGGCGAGAAGCAGGAGCAGCTCCCAGCACCGACCTGGGGGGGACCCAGCTGTCCTGGGGCTCTTCATGCACGCTTCCCCCTCCTGTGCCTTCTGCACGCTGCTCCGCCAGCATCCTCCACCCTGCAGTGGTTGGGAATGGAGCTCTTGGGCTGCTCTTCCTTTGGGCAGCAGCAGGGGCTCCACGCCAGTATTTCTGTCCCTGGGTCCCGTGCCATCAGCCCCGCTCCAGCTCGGCACCCATTGCAGTGGAAGGAGGGCAGAGAAAAGCCCTCTCAGCCCCTTACACCCGCAGCTGCAGCGGGGAAGCAGCGGGGCTTTATGCCCCAAACCCAGGCTGTGCTGAGGGTGCAGCAAAGCATCCCCACAGCCGTGCTGCCTCCCCACAGCCCCAAATCACCCGAAAGCCACCAGCGTCCAAGCAAACAGCAGCAGGGGGACGTGGGGAGGCTCCCCACCAGCAGCTTTCGGTTGTGGGGTGAGAGGGGCACCAAGCTGGGGGGGGGGGGGGGAAGTGATTCGTTTTGCAAGGGGCTGGTTGGCAAAACGAAGCATCCCATGGTTGCTCTTTCTATATATTTTTGTAGGACAGGGCGGGATGGGAGAGCAGATGGGAGATGGCTGCAGAAGTTATTTTTCACCCCATATAAAGTTTTAGGTTGGTTTCGGGGTGGGTTTTTTTTTTTTTTGGCCTTTAAATAAGAAAAAAAAGAAAGAATAATAATGAAATGGTCCTTGCTTTTGATGTCTATGCTGCCTACCTGTAAATCCAGATGTACTTAAGTGGCTGAAATCCTTGTTCTTAAATCAGATACACATTATAGTTTTGAACTATATATATAGTAAATATATATATATATATGCCTAACCCAGCAAAAATTAAAAAAAAAAATAAGAAAATAAAGTATTTGGGGGTGGGGAAATGCATTGCTCTTTGAAATGAATCACAATTGGGGGATGAAATTGTGTTTCTGAGTGCCTCGAGATAAGAATTGTTTTCATTTTTTTAAATAATTTTATACAAGTGTCAAAACAGCTGGCTGGATTATTTGGAATTTTTAAATAATCCTAACTTTTTTAAAGTAGATTTTGAGAACTGTCCTGTATATAACAGTAATGTAGCAATAAATGTGACATTTTATAACAATATTCCTTTTTTTTTTTTTGTCTTTTCCCCATGTCTGTCTGTCAGATGTTGTGTACCTATGACTGCAAAGTTGTAATAAAGGTTTGACCTGCTACTAAAAGAACTGCAGAAGAGAAAAAGACGAGGCGACCCAGCAGGACTCAGCCACTGCCTGCCCTCTGTTCTGTGCTCTGGGCCAAGGGCTCAGCCCAAACCCATCACCACAAGTCCTGCTGTTGCCCCACATCCACCCTTGGGCTTGCAGGGGGTTTCTTAGCCCTCTGCTGCTCCCTTGCTCATCACCTCTGGGCAAACGCAGCCATTTCGTTCAGTGTCTCCTCGTCCCGGCGCTGCTTCACCCCTTTGCCTCCATGTCCCCTCCCAGGGCCTGATCCATTTTCCTTCCCTTCATAGAATCATAGAATCACCAAGGTTGGAAAAGACCTCAAAGCTCATCCAGTCCAACCGTTCACCTCTTACCAACAGCTCCCACTGAACCACGTCCCTCAACACCACATCCAGCCTTTCCTTCAACACCCCCAGGCTCGGTGCCTCCACCACCTCCCTGGGCATCCATTGCAGTGCTGACCACCCTTTCTGAACAGTAACACTTCCTCATGTCCAGCCTGAATCTCCCCTGCCGTAGCTTGAAGCCATTCCCTCTGCTTCTATCCCTGATGACACGAGAGCAGAGGCCGACCCCCAGCTCACTACAACCTCCCTTCAGGAAGTTGTAGAGAGCAATGAGGTCTCCCCTGAGCTCCTCTTCTCCAGGCTGAACATTCCCAGCTCCTTCAGCCTCTCCTCATCAGCCCTGTGTTCCAGACCCCTCACCATTTCGTTGCCCTCCTTTGAACACGTTCCAGGGCCTCAATATCTTTCTTGCAGTGAGGGGCCCAAAACTGAACACAGCACTCGAGGTGCGGCCTCACCAGTGCTGAATACAGGGGAACAATCACCTCTCTGCTCCTGCTTGCAGCGCTGTTTCTGATGCAAGCCAGGATGCCATTGGCCTTCTTGGCCACCTGGGCACACTGTGGGCTCATGTTCAGCCGAGCATCAATCAATACCCCCAGGTCCATTTCCTCTACGCCGTCCTCCAGCCACACCGCCCCAAGCCTGCAGCGTCGCCTGGGGTTGTTGTAGCCCAAGTGCAGGACCCGGCATTTGGCCTTGTTGAAACTCATCCTATTGGCTTCAGCCCAGCTCTCCAGCCTGTCCAGGTCCCTCTGTAGGGCCTCGCTACCCCCAGGCAGATCCACACTTCCAGCCAATTTGGTGTCGTCTGTGAATTTACTGAGGGTGCACTCGATGCCCTCATCCATGCCCTCATTCCCCTCGTACAGCCCTGGGTGTTGCACTGCTGGTGCTTTTCCTCCTTCTCTGCCTCAGTGCAGAGCCAAAGTGCTGCCAAACACCCCTTGGTTATTGAGAAGTGTGAGCTGTGAGATGCCAGGCGAGGGGGGTGAGGAGCAGCCACCCACCCCTATGGGGACAAGGAAAGGTGAGGACTGAGAAACCAAGGCTGTACCAGATCATGAAACAGAGGAATGAGAAAAGCGTGACTGGGAGCAGGATTGGGGTGGGAAGACAGAGATGCACCAGGCTGAGCACAAAGCTGGGAGCGCAGTGAGGGCAGGAGGTGCTGCAAGTAAACGCTTTGCTTCACTGCGGTGTCCCTAAGGCAGCTCTGGGCAAGCAGGCGTGCTGCCCCTCTCCTGCTTCAGACCCTCCAGCAATATCTGTGCCACAGCCAGGCGAGGTGACCCTCAGATGGGCAGCACCTTCAGGTATGTGGGGTGCAGCTCTGCATGGTGCTGTGAGCTACGGACCCCCAGCAGCAATCAGGAGTTTCTGCAGGGAGAGAGCAGGCAGCAAATCCCTCTGTGCAGCACTTGAACTTCAGACGACAGCAAAATATATTGGAAGAATGAGAATGCTGCTGTTTTGTTTTAACCAGAAGCGTTGCTGTATCTCTTGCTGACTGCTTGCACTGTGGTCAAGCAGTCGGAAACGCTCCTAAAATTCTCTTGAAACCACAAGGCTTTTCTGAAGATACACACGGAGATGTTTTTCTTGAGTTCGGAGTCATTTTACCTTGGATTATTTTCCTTTCACCTAGGAAACTTTCAATGCAAATTGAGAGCTGTGGCTGCCTTGCATTTGCGTGACTCCAAGACACTGAGCTCAAACAACATTACAACAGAAAAACCTGCACAGATTCTGCTCGCCTCCCCTCTCCCTCCATCACCACGGTGGTGGTGGCGAAAGCAGCAGCTTCCTGCAGGATCCTGAGCCCCACGGCTCTGTCTGACTTCCTCCTGCACCAGCTGGTGCGTGGGCACCGGGGGGAACGGCGGGCAGAAACGAACCCAAAAGTCAGCATGGTTCGGTAACCTGCGTCACCCTGCTGGAGAAAAAGTCAAACCGTCAGCGTGAAATGCGGTGGTGAAGTCGATCATGCAAAGTGCTGATGAAATAATTCTGGTGAGGACAAAAAAGTCAACAAAAACAACAGGCTGGGTTTGGTTTTTGTTTTTTTGCATGAGATTCAGACAGAATTGTAGAATGGTTGGAGTTGGAAGGGGGGCTCTGAAGGCCATCTGGTCCCACTCCCTGCACTGAGCAGGGGCACCCACAGCTCCATCACTGCTCAGAGCCCCATCCCCTGCCCTCGGGTGTCTGAAGGTCGGGACATCCAGCACTGCTTTGGGCAGCTTTATGTCAGCGCTTCACTGCCCTTATCATAAAAACGTTTTTCTTTATATCCACTCTAAATCTCCCCTCTTTTAGCCAGAGCCCTTTTCCCCTTGTCCTATCACACAGACCCTGCTAAAGACCATCCCCTTGTTTCTTACAGCCCCTTTAGGTGCTGACAGGCCTCTCTCAGCTCTCCAGCCTTCTCTTTTGCAGGCTGCACAGCCCCAGCTCTCAGCCCGTCCTCACAGGACCTGTCCCAGCCCACACATCATTTTTACAAGGGTGGATAGTGATAGGACAAGGGGAAATGGTTTTAAACTAAGAGAGGGAAGGTTTGGGTTGGATATTAGGAGTAAGTTTTTCACACAGAGAGTGGGGAGGCACTGGCACAGGTTGCCCAAGGAGGCTGTGGATGCCCCATCCCTGCAGGCATTCAAGGCCAGGCTGGATGTGGCTCTGGGCAGCCTGGGCTGCTGGCTGGCGACCTGCACACAGCAGGGGGTTGGAGCTGGATGAGCGCTGTGCTCCTTTTCGACCCAGGCCATTCCATGACTCTATGATTTTTGTGGTTTCTCTCTGGTTGCTCTCCAACAGCTCCATGCCCCTCCTGTACTGAGGATTCCACATCTGGACACAGTGCCAGGTCCCGGGGGTCACCTCCCTCCTCCAACATGGGGACAGGACCAACATCCCACACCTCTGCCCTTGTGCAGGGATTGGGCTGGCCCTCAGGGCCTGTGATCCCCGTCCACCACAAGAACACCACACCCCCTGAGCTTTCACTGTGCAATGGCGGACAGTGCCAGCCCCACAGCCTCCCTCCTCACTGCAGCACAGCCACAGAGCCCCTGCACTGCTCTGAGGGCAGGCCTGGCCCCTCAGGCTCATCTCTCAGCCCCACAACGGGATCAGGGCCTAATCTGCAACCCCGCAGTGCAGTGAGGAAAGCCCCAACCCCTTCCCCTATGAAGACCGGCTGAGGGAGCTGGGCTTGTTCAGCCTGGGGAAGAGAAGGCTGCGGGGTGACCTCAGTGCAGCCTTTCAGTATCTAAAAGGAGGGGAATCAACTCTTGGAAAGGGGAGACAACTGCAGGACAAGGGGAAATGGTTTGAAGTTGGAGGAGGGAAGACTGAGATTGGATGTCAGGGGGAAGTTCTTTGCTATGAGAGCGGTGAGGTGCTGGAACAGCTGCCCAGAGAGGCTGTGATGCCCCGTCCATCCCTGGAGGTGTTCAAGGCCAGGTTGGATGGGGCTCTGGGCAGCCTGGGCTGCTGTGAAATGGGGAGGTTGGTGGCCCTGCACGTGGCAGGGCGTTGGAGATTCGTTATCCTTGAGATCCCTTCCAACCTGGGCCATTCTGTGATTCACTTCTCCCTTTTACAGGCCACAGGCCCACTCGGCATGAAGGCGGTGGGCCCGTTGCCATGACAACACGGCTGCGCTCAGGCACCGCCGCGGACAGCCCCGGGGTCCTTCGACGCTCTGCGTCGCGGTGGCGCATGCGCAGTGCGGGTGACTTTGAGGCTGCGCGATGCTGAGCAAGTTGGTGGGGCCGCGTTACGTTCAGCTCCTGCAGAACTGGTGAGCGGCGGGCTGGGTCGAGGCTGCGCCTTGGGCGGAGGGAGGGGATGGGGTGAGTGAAGGGAAGGGGCTTCGGGTGGTTCTTTTCCCCCCTGAAGGGAGCGCAGCTGCTGCACAGCTCTGTGTCTCCTTATGGGAGGGCCGTCAGCTGGGCTCGAAGGTCCTTTTCCAGTGTCTCCTTTAAATAAAAGCATTTCAAAGCTTAGCTGTGCGACATTTCGGCTGTTCTGGATGCTGCCTCCTGTACGTGGAGTGCCTGCAGGGTTTCTGCCAAGGTAGTTCTTGTCTGTGATGAATTTCCCGAATCACAGAATCACAGAATGGCCCAGGTTGGAAGGATCACAAGCTCCAAACCCCTGCCACATGCAGGGCCACCAACCTCTGCATCTCACAGCAGCCCAGGCTGCCCAGGGCCCCATCCAACCTGGCCTTGAACACCTCCAGGGATGGACGGGGCATCACAGCCTCTCTGGGCAGCTGTTCCAGCACCTCACCACTCTCATAGCAAAGAACTTCCCCCTGACATCCAACCTCAATCTCTCCTCCCTCAACTTTTGCCAAACCTTTCCCAGGGGAGAATTAAAGCTGTTCACCTTTTCTGTCTCTTCTTTAGGACTCCCACCCTCGTTACGTGGGGTGGTGTAGCTGGCACCGGTGTGATATGGATCACAGACTGGAAACTCATCCTTCAGTACGTCCCCTACATCGGTGGGAAGTATAAAACTGAAGACTAAGCTTCCC